GGGGGGGAGGCTCTACCTGAAGCACTCGTGAATCCACAGGCGGGTGAGGCTGGGCTTGGTATCGTGGAAGTCCTTGTGCGCCCGCAGCATGCCCTGGAACACCTGCGCCAGGGGCAGAGCCTGAGCCACCGGCCGGGAACCCTCCCCTGCCCGCCCCGCCCCCCCAAGCTGCTCGCCTGGGCCAAGCCCTTCCCCAACGCGGGTCCCAAACGGAAACAGCCCCCTAGAGGGGACAGGCCCCCGCCCCATTCCCTGCCCCCCTGAGCCAGCCAGTCCCTGCCCTGGGGCTGGGTGGCAGCTGGCACCCCCTAGAGGGGACAGGCCCCAGGCCCATTCCCCGCCCCCCTGAGCCAGCCAGTCCCTGCCCTGGGGCTGGGTGGGAGCCGGCACCCCCTAGAGGGGACAGGCCCCAGGCCCATTCCCTGCCCCCCTGAGCCAGCCAGTCCCTGCCCTGGGGCTGGGTGGCAACTGGCACCCCCTAGAGGGGACAGGCCCCAGGCCCATTCCCTGCCCCCCTGAGCCAGCCAGTCCCTGCCCTGGGGCTGGGTGGGAGCTGGCACCCCCTAGAGGGGACAGGCCCCAGGCCCATTCCCAGCCCCCCTGAGCCAGCTGTTCCTAGAAGCCTCTCGCCCAGAACCCGTCTGCGTGTGGCTGCTCCTGTGACGGGCAGGATGGGGACCCGACGTGCAGGACACACTGAGGGGCTGGCACTGGGCACCAACACCAAACCTCTGCTGGATTCCTCCCTGTGCCAGCCCCACTCATGCCAGGGGCCTTCTGTGCCCCCAACCCCCGTGTGTGGGCACAGCAGATACTGTGAGCGGGGCCCCCTGGCTCCATGCTGGGCTCTGGGCTCGGCTCTGACCCAGGGGGCGAGCGGGGCACCAGCCGGGTACCTTGGAGATGTCGCGCAGGTTGAAAAGGTAGTGGATCTTGGCGGGCGTGGGCAGGAACTTCTGCACCACAGCGTGGTACAGCTCGACCGTGGCCTCGGTGGTGACGTTGCCAAGCGGCTTTACCGCCTCCTCGAAGTTCTGCAGCTTCTGGTTGAGCATGGTGCCGAAGATGCGCCGGATCTGCGTCTCCTGCGGGGCGGCCAGAGCGGCACCTAGCGCCAGTCGCTCTCCACCCCGCCCCCTGTGGGTCCCCCCGTTCCCGGTGCAGCAGAGAGGGGACACAGCTGACTGGGCTGTGGGCATCCTGGGGGCTGAGAGGCCTGGCACCCGCCTGCTCTAAGGAAGGGGTGCCCAGGGGCAAATGGCACCGGGGAGAGGGGGCCCCAAGGCCCAGCTGTTGCACAAAGCTGCTCTGATTCTGTTGCGTGGCACGTGGCTAAGCCGTCCTTACCGTGGGGAAGGTCATGTTGATGAGGTTGAATCTGCTCTGAAGCCGGCCGGATATGACGGTTCGGCCGCCCCCCGGGGGGCCCATGGCCGCCATCAGGAACATGTCCTGAGGGGAGACAACCAAAGTCAAGCGAGGCCTTTCTTCTCCCCCCAGCCGGAGGGGCCCGCGGCGCGAGAGGGGCGGCACGACTGCCGCATACTAATAGTACTGCAGCGGCAGCACCCGGCGCTGATGTCTGCTATGGCCCACGCTAACTAGATTCCGGGCACAGGCGCCCACCTCAGCAGGTGCCCTGTCCGCATGGACTGTCGGAACGACCTCCCCGTGGCGCAGCCGCCATCCCCGCCAGCTTTTCCCACCGGGATTGGGGGGGGCTCTTAAGTACCCGTCCCAGGAGGGGGTGGGACAGTTCTCTGGCCTGTGCCAGCGCGCCTGTCCGGCTTTGGAACCCATCCAGCTAGTAACCGGAGGAGAGCAAAGCGCTGCCCTGGGCCCCGGCGCTGCCAGCTCCCCCGGCCTGCAGGGACTCCGCCTCCGCCGAGCTCCCCCGGCCTGAAGGGGGGACGCGCTGAAGAAAGGGGGCAGGCCCAGGTGAGGGGCAGGTGACACAGCTGAGCCCCTCCCTGGGCAGCGAGCCACGCAGCGCCCGGCAGAGAGGCAGCACCGAGGGGGCTTGGGTTGGCACAGCTCAGTGCTGGGTACCCCCCCCCAAATGAGACTGTGCAGAGAACCCTCAGAGAAGTGTTTCCAGGGGCCGAGCCAGCCGCCCGTCTGGCTGCAGGAGAACAGTCCCTGGGAGGACGTGCCTGCCCGGCCGGCCACCCCCGAGACGCAGTAGGTGCGAGCCATGGGGCTCGCAGCCCAAGCCCCGGAGGGAGGCAGGCGGGCAGCGTCGCAGACCGGCGGCGCCGGGCTCCTCACCTTGATGTATTTGATGGTTTGCTTCTCGCGGTCGTACCAGAAGCCGTAGTCGATCCAGAGGCGCAGCAGCTCCAGCGGGGGCTGGGAGCCGAAGGCGTCCTTGGCCGGCATGTTGAGGTCATCCATGAAGGTGATCATGCTCTTGCCGCCCATGGGCACGTAGACCCCCTTGGTCCTCTTCTCCACCCGGCTCTCGATGATGTTCTGCACGTTGTTGGATGTGGTCTGGGGGGGGTGGGGCAAGGTTGAGCAGGGACCTGAGTCCAGGGACGGCAGGGGGCTTGCGGCTCCATGGGACGGGCCCAGGGCACAGCCCCACCCAGGGGTCAGCCCTTCCCCGTGGGCCAACAGGCACGTCACTGGACTGAGAGCTTGGATGTGACTGCCAGCCTGTGACTACCTGCCCAGCCACCAACGCCTGCCCGGCACCTGCCCAGCCTCCCCCTGCCAGCCAGTGACTACCCGACACCTCCCCAGCCTCCCCCTGCCAGCCAGTGACTACCCG